AATGACTGGAATTCCTCAAATCTCGTTTTCACATTTGGCAACATCAACGTCGTTGAGTCTCGTTGACACCGATTACCAAACAGTTATCATCAATTCACTCCGAGATATTTCTCTTGTGGAAAAGTACAATTACATTGTGAATGAATTTCGAGTGACGAGTAAAAATGAAACCCTCAAATTGTGTAACGTGACAACAACTGGAAAAGTGTTTTACATTGATGACAAATTTACTTTCAGTGGGATAAATGATGTGTATGAAATCACAAGCAAATCACTCGACCTTGAAATAACAAGCGTAACAAATTCGAAAATCACAATGTCTTCAGACAATTCCATTCTGAAACTTATAGGCGACTTTTCATTGAAAGTCTCTGGAGAGAAAAATGTGATTGATGTCACTACAATGGAAACGTCTCTTGTCAACACGGGAGCAAATCTTTTGTTTTCAAATAAAGGAATAACAGCATTGAACACAAAGACTGGGACTGCTCTTTCTGTTGTTATAAACTCAACTGGTAATTGTCAGGCTGGACTATTTGGCGATTCTTTCCAGTGTATTTTGTGTAACACGGGGTACTTTGTACAAGATGGAGTCTGTTATCAAAACAACAAGTTGAAAAACTGTGAAACGTATGATACAAATGGAAAGTGTTTGGGTTGTAAAATAGGGTTTGGCAAAGCCGACAACACAGGAGACTGTTTAAAGTGTTCAACAGATTGTTTAAATTGCTTGAATAATGTTTGTTTGTTATGTTCTCTTGGAAACCAGGTCAAAAATGGTGTATGTGAATATGTGTCTACAAATGAGACAAATTGTGTTTCGTTTGAACAAAACAGGTGTTACAAATGCAACAAAAAATACAATGTCATTGACGCTCAATGCACTTCTTGTGGCGACAATACCGTTCAATGTGATTCACGTGATGGTGTATCAATGGAATCGACAATATGCGAACTCAATTTCAAACTTGAAAATAAAAAATGTATAAATTCTGACGGGGTTTTAATTGCAAACAACGGTGTTGTTTCATGTGAAGACACATATTACTTGTCGTCCAACACATGTTTAAAGTGCAATGACGCAATATCAAATGTTACAAATTGTGGTTTGTGTAACAACAAAATGTGCATAAAATGCCTTCCAAACACAATACCTGATTCAACAACATCCACGTGTAAACCAGTTGATGGTTGCCAAGAGTATCTTGACAACTCTTGTGTGAATTGTGGAACTGAATTAATTGTTGGTTTTAACATTTGTAGGACAAAAAAGGATGGGTGTTATAATATGAATACACATGGCGATTGTTTGGAATGTGATGATGAGCATTTTCTTTCAAATGGAAATTGTGAAACAAAGACTGAAGCATCGATCCCTTCTGTCAATTGCATTCAACCGTCTTCCAAAGGATGTAACCGTTGCGAGCCTGGTTACTTTTATGATGACTCTTTCAATTGTCAAAAATGTTCTTCAAATTGCGAAGAGTGCTTTTTCAATTCCACGTACTGCACTTCTTGTAATGGGGAGTCGTATTTATATAACAACTTGTGTCATTCCGGTGAAGAGCTCAAACGTACATGTAAAAAGGTTTCTCCGATCAAGGGAGGTGGATGTTATATCTGCAAAGATGGGTTTTACCGAGGTGACGATCAAATATGTAGAGACTGCGACTCAACGTGTGAAACATGCAATCAAAAAGATAAATGCATTTTCTGTAAAGATGAGTACTTTATGTCATCAAACACGTTTGTATGTAAACTGAAGAGCGAGATGAGTGGATGTACGACAAAGATCAACTCATTGACTGGTTGCGCTGAATGTGATAGTGGGTATTTCTTATTTGGAAACGAATGTTTTAAATGTGGAGAGACTTGTGCAACATGTAAAAACAAAAACGACTCTTGTTTGTCGTGTGGAGATGGTCTTGTTTTGAACAATTCGTTATGTGTTCCATTTAATCAAATTAAGTACTGCACCAGTGCACACAACTCCAGATGCACTAAATGTTCCTTCTGGCATGACATATCCGAGGGAAAAGAGTCATGTGAAACAAAAGCGGTGTGGTGGGTCATCGTAATAATAGTAATATTGTCAATTGTTGTCTTAATTGTTGTGTTTGTTGTTATTGGATGGCTGATATGGGCTGTTAGCAAGAAGATCAGTGAAGTGAAACGGGACAAAGCCGTCTGTGTCTTTACAATGGATAAGTCGAATGTGAGGTTTGTGAAAAGCAGTACGATCCCAATCGTATCAATGGACAAGTCTGAATTAGTTTTCGATGTGGACGGGCCAATTCACGTGAACAAAGAGAATAGGATGTTGCTTTGTGTTGGCAACAATTCAAATGGAAGCATTAAAGTCCAGTTCACTTCCAAAACAGGACAAATGAAATATGAAATGAAGGTCTCACCCAACCTTGTTTTACTTCGGTCTGGTAAAGCTTGTGAATTTGAAGTAACAGTGTTACCTCTTTGCACTTCAGTTATCAAAGAAGACATATCGCTTGTTGTTTCTGAATTTAAGACTGGGCAACACTATAATATGCCAATTCACTTTTCGTATGAAACTGAGATATCCACATCATTGGACCCCGACGAGTTGATTGAAGACAAAAAGTTGGGAGAAGGTTCCTTTGGAATTGTATTCAAAGGGACGTTCAGGGGGTACGAAGTAGCGATAAAAAAGATGAAGAACGTCTCGGGGAGTGATGAAGAACTCGACGAGTTTGAGAAAGAAGTTGTGATGTTAGATAAATTCCGGAGTGATTACATCATTCACTTCTATGGCGCAGTTTTCATCCCAAACAAGATTTGTATGGTGACCGAATATGCTGAATTTGGCAGTTTAAATGACATGATACAAAACAAGCAATCAGATGACGTTTCAATAAAGCAACGCATCAAAATAATGACGGATGGTGCTCGAGGTATTGAGTACTTACACTTAAATGGTGTATTGCATAGAGATGTGAAACCAGACAATATGTTAGTTGTATCACTCGGTGATTCTATTCCCGTCAATGCCAAATTAACGGACTTTGGGTCTTCGAGAAACGTGAACACTATGATGACTAACATGACATTCACAAAAGGGATCGGCACACCCTCTTACATGGCGCCCGAGGTTTTACAGCAAGAGCACTATAAAATGGCGAGTGATGTGTACTCTTTTGCGATAACAATGTACGAATGTTTTGTGTGGGGTGAGGCCTATCCCAAGAGTACCTTCAAGTTTCCTTGGGAGATTCCAGAGTTTGTCACTTCTGGAAAGCGTCTTGCTCGACCTGAAAAGATGGACACTGACCTTTACAATGTGATTGATATGTGTTGGTCCAAAAACCCTGTCGAACGAATGAAAATCGAAGACGTTGTTAAAGCACTTTCGGACCTCAAAATAAACTAACCCAATGTTTTTAATCACTTAGTTACTATAAAAGAGTGTTAGAGTTTCTTGCACTCGATGAAATTCGATTCCTCCATCTGAACTATTTCTCGTATCTTGCTGACCAATGTGTTTGCCTCTTCGTTCATAAATATCACGTTATTTAAATATTGCTCACATCCTGTACTTACAAATAACATGATAGGGTTATTACACTCCAAAAAGATGTTATATCTGATCTGCCTGTTATTGTGATCGGTCTTGAAGCAACAAACTGAAAAGATGAAAAGAAGGGTTTTCAACATAGAAATGATTGTCTTTTCGTTGTTGATTCTCTTATACGTTTGAAGACTTTGTGATATCGACTCTATCATCCCCTTGTTAATAAACATGTCGATAACACCATTCTGTTTATTCCCAAAAGTCAAACACGACGAATACATCAGTTGGACAGCGGCTTCAGCGACTTCGGTATTTGGTGCGTCAAAACACACAATGAAGAATTGGACTGTTTCTTGATATTCAAACAACAACTGCAAAATTGTGTGTGGCTTGAAAAGAAGGACTTTGTAAATAAACTTGAGAACTAGAGGAAGAACTCTCAAGTTTATTTGTTGTGCGCTTTTAAAGAGAAACTCGACAATACCAATGAACTCCTGAAACTGCACAGTTCGACACAATTCAAACCACAGATCGATGAGTTCAAGTACCTTCAGTTGAATAATCGAGTCGCCAGTTTGGAACAGTATTAAAAAATCCTTCAACCCACGTTCTTCAATACTCTGAGACACTTCCTCTTGAATTGAAGTGTTTTTTAAAGCTTCTAAAAGAAGCATTGTAACTTCTGGTATACTCCTCCGCAGTTCGTCTCGCAATATGAAGAACATTCTCCCTGCTATCAATGCGAAAGTGTTTGCCATATTATTTGTGAACGAAATGACAAACTCGACGAGTGAGAGTTTAATTGCAGAGTCGCACTGACCTTCCATAAAAATGGTTTTCATTTCGTTCTCGAAAGGATAATAGAACCCGCCAGTCATCAGTTGTTCGCACAACATACTTTTATTGTAAATGACTTCACTCACTATTTTCAGAGCAACCATCTGGCGGTCTCTTCCATATTCATTCAGAATAAGTCTCTTCAATACGGTTATAAGACCACTCGAAAAAATAAGGGCACCAACTCTCCCACTTGGCAACGTCGACGCAATTTTCAAGAAAGCAAGCACAGCATCGAGAACTAGAAAGTCTCCGTTCAGAGTGACACATAACAGTCTTTGAAACAATTCTATGGTTATCATTTCCTTTGCCATTGACCCATCTCTGATGATCTCAGAGAGTGTTTTGAGACCGTTTATAATTGCACACTCATTTGTATTGTTTAAATCGCACATGGCCTTTCGATATATCTGAAAAATACAACTGAGGTTGTATTCCTCAACTTTATTATTGGGATCATTAGTTGGCGTTGAAAGGATAATAACATTATCAGGACAATGTGTCTGGTTGAATAAATTATATCTCCGAGCTTTTCGAAGTGATTGGTGGTACTCTATTTGACGTGAAAGGTTATCCTCATGTCTTAGCATAATCTACCTTTTAAGTTTCTTTCCTTTAAAGCCAATTGATTGTTTCGGATGAGTTCATAGTTTGTATTTATAAAACTATCATATAATTATAATTATAACTATAATATAATAATTGCAACATGTCCTAATCGCCCGATTTTGTTGGGATACAAATAAAAATATTCAATTATTTTTAAAGTTTAATATGTTAAAAATATTAAATTTTTATTAGAAATAAATTCCTTTGTTGAGTCAAAAAAACACTATTTAATTTACAATTAAATTTAATTAAAATTAAGTTATTAATACTAAAACTGCGAAAATAATGAATAGAAAATGCCCAAAATTGAAACGTCAAATCACAACTTAAAAAAAAGAGTAAAAAACGCAAAAAAATCACAACGAAAGGCCTTTACTTTTTTAAATCAAAAAACATTTTATTAGAAATCGAAGAAATTGTTGACGTCCAGATTGTCTCCATCGAATGGCTTTGCCATTTTTTCACTTTCTTCATAGTCATCTTCAAATACAGTTGGGGCTGATAACACCATTTTAATTGGGTTATGTCCGCGTGGTGGGATTATGACATCGTACAACTCTTCTTCACTTTCTGACATCTCGTCGAAACGGTCCAATGGACTTTCTTCATCCTCGCTGGACAGGAAACAATTTGGAGTTTTGAAGGAGTCTAATGCCCTTTTAATTAACTCGTCTTTTCACAACTGAATGCAACAAACGGGATTTCAAAGAGGTGTTGGGCTAACGGTCTAAACACATTACTCATATTCCAGTGGTTTACATTTTATAGTCCCAACCTTTATTTTATCTTTTTTATTCATTGATATTCAAATATTAAATCGTTCCACCTTTGTTTCGCTTATAGTTTATGAATTACTTTTGATTATTATTTAAATTGTATTTCAATTTTTGGTTAGTTTTTTATTTTTACTAATATAATCCTATTCTTCACTATTTAAAACTAAGTCAAAACCATTCCCGATATATTACAGTATTACCCCTAATAATAATTATAAATATGATGTTTATCTTTGCATCAAACAATTTGTGTATTTTTGAGTTTAATTTAACTGTAATTTATATTTATATTATTTTATTTATTTATATTATTTAATTAAATTCAACAGTTTTTTATTCAAAATATATAATAATTATATTATTAATTATTTTATTATAATAAAAGCAAAATACTTTTCTATAATTTTTAATCGTTAAACTATAAACATTAACAATTTGGACTTTTCGAAAATGTTTGTCTTGAAAAATATTATTGATTATAGCAAATGTTATTATTATCATATCTAATAGTAAAAACTTTAGTAAAGTTTCAAACTAGATGTTTATTATTTCAATAATTAAATTAATTAATACCTTGTGTTATTATTATTAAAATGTTATTAATAACAAAAAATGAATAACAAAAATTTAGAAAGTTTTTCCTTTGAATGTGTTTACAAGTTCTTTTACCTTTGCTTCGAACTTCTTAGACCGTATTGGCATCTCCAAGATGATGAAAGGGTCTTTCAAGACGTAGTCTGCGTATAGTTTGTATAATTCCTTTAAGAAGTCCCCGAGGATAGGAGCGCTTTGGAGTGATCCGATCACAATGAACTTAACTCCTGTCTTTGTGTGAAGGCACTGAAGGACAAAATTGTTTGTTTGGATTTTCTGGATGCCTTCGCTTTCTTTCAGTGTTGGGCAGATTTGACTTGCGACAATACTAAAGCCGTGAAACGACGACGCGAATATCAGTGGGTCGTTTTCTTTACGATACTGCATCTTCTCTGTATAATTCTTCATCCACCTCGACGTTCCGGCTTTATTGATAATCATGACGGTGTGGATTTGGCATGTCATTTCTTCAATCTCGTATTAAGTTCTTTTGTTCAAATCATATAACAAAAAAAAAATTAATGTTATTTCTCAAAAAAAAAACACTTTTTTAGTGAAAATAATTATAATAAATAAATTAATAAAAGTATAGATTAACAGGAGGACAGAAAAGAAGTCAAACCCTGGAACTGATTGAATCAAAGGCAACTGTCATGAGCTCAAAGAGAATTGAACTTTACATCCCAAGACACTGGTTTGTTATTACCTATCGCAGCGAGAGTCAAAGGTAAGTACTAACGTTTAGCTCTGTTACACACACTTTGATTGCCCCAGATGACCACTCCTCTGTTCAAATTAATGTCCCAGCTGTTGATGAGAGCGGAGTCATCACAAAAGACCACGTCACTTTCACTGTCAAGGGTTCAGTCAGAAGAAGCGGTATTTCCGATCACACTTTGAATAGAGAATTCCAAAGAGAGTCTTTCCTCAAGACTGTGGTCTCGCAAGAAACGATGCTCTAAACTAACGTTGTCTTACTTGTTCCATTTAAACCTCTTTTGTTATATATAACATTTTATATCCTATTTTCTCTCTTACTTCTTTTTTGTGGGAAAAAATCAATGGATCTCGTCAAAAAGGCCATTTTTAAGATGCTTTTGACCTTTATACTTCAATAGTACTCAATAGTATAAATTGAACTAATTTTTACTATATGCAGTTTATAAAAGAACTCGACCGAAACTCCATAAAGTTAAAGGGACAAGCGTGTCGATGAATACCTGCCAAATCTTCACGCCTTTAGTAGTCCGGCCAAATAACACTTTTCGTTGTTCAATGCCTCTGTGCAGCGACATGAATAAAGAAGAAAGTGTATTAAATGATGAGGAACGCCCTGTCCCCCCAAGGTCAACACAACCAAACCCATTTAATTCAGTTGATCCATACTGGGATGATGGGTCTCTCAGTGGTGAAGACGGCTATTTTAGTGACGGCTTTTTCGAAAGCCGACCGTGACTGTTGTAATTTGTTGTTTTTCCTTCTTCTTTGTTTTTGTATGAACTCCACTAAACTCCGCTTGACAATCCCTTCGAAAAATCCGCTTTTCGTGAACAAATTCTATATAACTAATTTAATGGTATTATTTATTATAGTACGCGTTTTTATATTTTTAATACCAACTATTGGCGTTCAAAAGGCGTTTTTCGGACTCCGCAGACAACGCTGTTTGTTCTCAAAAAAATAAAATAAGACAATTTTTTAAAATGATTTTTACTTGAAGATTAAATTGCCTGGTTGAGTTGTTTTTTTGATTGTAAAGTTTTTGTCCAATTTAATTTACCAAAAAGCGAAAAAATATGAATTTCTTTTAATAATCACAAATAAAATGCAACACATTTTAAGCAAATTGATGGGAGAATACGATAAAATATTCAATAAAAACATTTTTTTTTGAAAATAATATGTAATAATAAAATATCATTTATTTGATAGCTTATTAAACTATTTCTTTTGTTTTTATTATATTTGGAACTATTGTTTTGGAATTAGAAAGTGTTATATATAACATTATCATTTTTAGTCCCACAAAACAAGACTTATTACATTATAATAAAATAACCATAAATAATACAAAATGTTATATTTACAAACCCGTAAAAATAGAGCGAATATACACCTGAATTAGTAGATCCATTCGTCTTGTTGTTATATTTTTGGTATTGAAACTGGAAAAGACGATGGAAGTAGTACCCGAAGTTTGTGATACAATTTTCAGCTGTGGACTGACGGACAGAAGCACGTTTTTATTATAGGGGAGGGCGTATCAAACACATGTCTTTTCATTCAAAAAAGAAAATGGCCAACAGAAGCACCTCTGAATTTTGAGATGGTCCAACGACTTGCCAACTCACTTCACACATTTGGTAAAACTTGTTCCAAAGAGGGATGTGCTCCTTCATTCAACAAACTGACTCTTTCGAAAAAATCGGCTGCTTCGCGTCGTGGATAGTCAATGGAGAACCTTGAGGACATGTACTCTGTTGTTATCTCCAATTATATCGCAGTACTTCTCACTGCTCATTCCGACGTTTGTTCATTTTGTGTTATTCAAATGTTATTGATCCATAGGAGAAAAATAACCTCAAAAAACAACTCGAAACAGAACTCACTACGTTCATCGAAAAATACAAAGTTCAGCTGGATGGTTTAAAGCCTCGATTTGATTATTATGCAAAACCAAAAATTGAGGGCGGAATGGTTGATTCCCAAGGAATGGTAGAGGAATTTCTTCTGTTGTTTCAGGATTATACGCCAAAAATATAATATTGTGATTTGACAAGTATAGTTTATTTGTTGGTTTAATTTAATTTATGTTGAGAACGTAGAGACAAGTAGTATTACCATAAATAACTACTTTTATTATAATTTTTAATTAAAGAAATTACAAATTTCTTCCTTTTCAAAATATAAAAACTACAAAAACTCAAATTAAATGGAAACCCGAACAAAAACTAATTTTCTTCAACACGTCGCGATTCCAAAACGAAGTACGACTGTTAATCACCCCACAAAAAATCCCGAAGTCAAAACGAGTGTTGACGGATGGGCGGAGGTAGAAGTACCAAAGAAAAAGCCCTCTCTATTTTGTACCAATTTTAAAGCTAAAGTTGAAATAAAAACTGTGACACCCCACACTTCCACAAAAACGCCTATAAAATCACAAATGACACAAACTAAATCTTTTCCAACAGGAACTACACAACAACAGGAAGATACTATTCAAAATACTATCACTCCAAACAAAACGAAAATGGAAGAGTGCACCGGCTCAGACGATTTTGATGTCGACAGTGTTATTGAAGCAATGGACAACGAAGTGAAAAAACAAGCAACCCTCAAAACTCAAGAGATTAAACCACACAAAAAGTTTGACTTTGATAACAAATTAGTCAAAAATTTCCACTCAGTCCAAAACCTCTCAAACTTCGGGTTTTTGCCTCCACAAAAGAAAAAGGTGACACTGATTTTTGAAAATGAAAATATTTTACTCTTAGGGAATTTCAATGATAAACTCAAAGAAACATGTCAACGCAATGGAGCAACTTTTGTTGAAAAGAGTTCTCCATTACTTTCGATTATAGTATGTTCGAATGGTATTATAGAACAAGACACTTTACTCAATTGCTCGACGAAAGGAATTCCAATCGTGACCAACAAATGGATTGAAGACTCAATCAACAATAGGAAAAAAATGGACACACAAAAGTATTTGATGTCTGTTGAGCAAATTGATGCAACATCAAGGAAGAGAGACTAATAATCCACTTCCCGTTTGTTTATTATATTTATTATATATTTATTATATATTTATTATATATTTATTATACCAAGAAAGAAACACGTCATTTCAAAAGTGAAATAATTAATTGAAGAAGTGAAATCACACATAGATTTAGTAAATCTAGTAACAATTAAGACTGATTTATTGTATGAAATATTTTATTAAATGTCGTTTAATATATTTATTAATGCTTTATAGATATCTGAAATATAATAAAGGACATTAACTTTATTAAAGTAGATCAATCATAATTACTCATCTTCTTCCATTTTAGAACTCTCTTCTTCTTCCATCTTCTTGTCATCGTCTTGACTCACTTCAGCATCCTCCTCTTCCATTTTATTCACATCATCAACTTCTTCACTTTCAACATCGTTGTCTTCGCCAATTTGAACTGCATTGTCGAAAACATTGTCTAGGATGTCTTTTGGATTTGAAATGTTTTTCTTGGTCTCGATAAGAGCCTTCGCGTCTCTGACTTTTCTCTTTGCAGCAAGTGCTTCTTCGTTCCTTTCGAGTCTTCTGATTGTCTTTGGGGAAACAAAGGACTCGTTGACATATGCGGTAGCTCCTTGGAAACATCCCATTAATATTTTGATGAGTCTCAAACACAATCTTGGCCCAATCTCTACCAACGAGAGCTTGTCCTTTCCTTCTTGTTCTGCGATTTGATAGTTTCTAATCCAAATTCTGTCGTCCACAATAGAGAATTGCATGACATGGTCGATGAAGGGTTTTGACTTGGGATACCCTTGTTGGACATTAAAGATTTTGGACATCACTTCTTTCATTACTTGTCCTTCTTTGGTTTGTGTGAATTCATTCCCAAAACTTAAAATTGGGCGAGACCCTTTCAAGCAGTTACCAGACAATTTCAAGTCAGTCATCAAAGTACCTTTCAATCAGTATAATGGGTATAGATGAATTCTATAGATAATATCAAACAAACTGCTCTCAACAAAAAACTTCAGAGATGGTCCATTTGGTGCTAAAGTCATCCAAATATAGGTCAAGTCAGGGTTGCGGTCTTCTATAAAGACACAAGTGTCACAGTTTCGATCACTACATATACTGGCAATGTTCTTTAAATTACGGAGGTCATCATACTTGGCTTCTTTTTTGGCATGGGGGAGTAAACCAAACAAATCCGCCATCATATATCGCTCCTTCGCCTTGATACCACGAGAACCAAATAACAAACATCGGGACCATGGCGCTTTGTACTTCTTTTCTTCATGCTCGGGGGTATATCCGTCAATTTCCTTTTCGGCTCTCTTCAACATAAAAACACTTTTTAGGGTTTCGAGTTTTTGGTTTTAATTATTTGCCGAATTATTCAGAGTATTGGAAACTAGTAATTGATGTCCATCACTAATTTACTTGTCGAGTGCCAACACAACAGATTCTACCCACCAGATTATACACTCACCAAACAACGACAAGTCTTCAGTAATCAATTTCAAAAGTCATACGACGTCGACTGGAAAAAAATCAATGGACTTAAAAGGGAAAAAAAGGTAGACATCCAGTTAATGTCAGGTGACGAAAAGGTAGAGAACGGAAAGCCTCTTAAATCGCGTTCTGAAGTTACTATGAAATTGGTTTTCAATGAAAGTTACGTCAAAGAACTCTTCCCCAATTTAGAAGAGTTGGTTGACCAACGACTCAAAGAGGCCAAACAACAACAAGAGAAACAAAAATTACTGGAAGAAGAACTAGTTCAGAAGAACTTAAAAGAAGAAAAGGCGCGACTTGAACAGCACAAAGTTGAAGAACAAAAAGCAGCTGAAGTCGCACAAAAGGAAGAGAAAGCGAAAAAAGAAGCATTAGAAAAGCAAAAGGAAATCGAAGACAAAGAAAATGAAGAGAAAAAAATTGAGAAAGAAAAGCAAGAGAAGGCAGATCTTATTATTAAAAAACGGGAACGATTGTTATCTATGTTTGTTCATTCAAGTGACTCTATATATAGAAATTCGTATAGAAATAATTCATAGCATCCAAACTAAGAAACTGCGAGGTATTAATTACATTCGAATAGAAAAGCTATTTGAAGATCCACTTCTCCCTTATCAAAAAATGTTTTTCATGTACAAGTTTACAGTCTATTCTGTGAGTTTTGGGCAATGGGAAAGCACACGTGTCTTTCAGAGTTTTAAAGATGTTAATTGCGACAAACTTGACCTCCCCCTCGACACCATTCGACCATTTGGAAATTTAATAGGAAAGATGCAAAACCAACCAGAACTTGTGTTGTACTTTACT